TGGAGCACAAAATGAAGTTGATGAAAATATTAGCTCTCTCTCTCATCATAAATGCAGGTTTTACCCTAATATTTCCTCTCTTATTTTTTTCATTATCAGAGAAAATAAAAACCTGAGCACAAGTTTCTGTGACTATGAAGACTCAAAATATAATTATATATTAATTGTTAATTGATGAAGTTCTAAGCACAGTTCAAATAATACCAGTCTAACAGAGAACTTTACATGGCCATATAAGTAATATGAAAAAAACTTTACAATTTAGTTTCCATTACTTCCAATATGAAAAACTAAAATTTTCAACTCAAACTCTCTTTCTTAGATGCATCTGGATTACATGAGATTAAAGCAATTGTAGTTTAAGTTGCTATAATGCAATTATCATAGATTGTTACATATCACAAATATAGAATTTGAATTGAATTTGAGATAGGTAGGGAGAGAAATGATACTGCTGCTAAATTTTAGGCATTATTCTAGCCATCTAGACAACAAAGACATCATCTGCTACTTCGTGCATTGTATTTAATAAAAACCAGTAGTTAAACTAAAAATCCCACAAACTGAAAACACATAAAACTCAAGAGAAGAATATCTTTCCATGGCATCCAAAATTTCATACGCACATATACTAACAAACTCTATCAAAGGACTGTGGATGATTTCAGTCTGGAAAAAATATGCTTGCTTTGATCTGTTCTCTTAATCATCCTCAATTTTTCACCAAGAACATTCTGTATAGTTTCAGAAGACAACTAAGGAATAAAAATATTGTTTAAAAACAGCAGAGTAATAGTACAGTATGACATTCATCTAAAATAACCTAATTTTCTTGCTTCTATAGACAATTACCTAAAATTCTCTGGGAACTATTTCTCCCTTTGTTTGGGTTCAGTACAACGTGTGTGTACAAACATAAATTCATGTGGTGTAGACAGAAAATCAGAGTGCTGGTAAAAGTGAGACAGGATCTGCTATCAGAAGGAAGTGTTCTGCTATCAGAAGGAAGAGGATCAGAAGGAATCTCTCATGTGCTCACCTAGAATCACCTCCATCAGTTCTGTCAGAACTCCTGAACAGCTCTAGAGGGAGACATTCACGGCCTGGCATGGCTTCATGGCTTCCTCCTTACCTAATATACTACTTCCCTATAAAACCTGTCTTTATGGTGCTTCTGTAGTTTCTAACTGGTTTGCAGAGAGGTTCATGGGCAGAAGAAATAACAAGATACCATTTTGTATCTTGAAGACAAAGATATTTAAAGTACTAGCTCCAGGTCACTGTGGAAAGAGGAGAAAATTAAATCCAAAAAACAAATGTAAGTTATTATATTGATGCAAGAGTAATTTACAAGTAGTAACTAAGGTTCATGTCAAAACTGGACAAATTATCTGAAAAATATGAAAAACTTAAAATTTCTACATATCGAGTATCCAAAACACCAGTTGCTGACAAATTGAATTTCATTTAAAACACCTAAATATTTTTTTTGTGTTTTTTCTTTGATTTGCCTTTATTTTCCACTGATTCTTCACATATACTCTCTTCAGGTATTGCCCATATTCTTCTGTAATTCCCCCCTCTCTATCTTCCCATAGGCTTTTGCAGGATGCCATCCTTTCCTGGGATGCCTTTAATATGAAACACAAAACTATCTATCACAAAACATCACCTGCTTTTTCCCCTTTAAATCAAGTGATCTCAAAGTTTGCTCTTGACAACCAAAAGTACAACAGGAATACATACTAAATTAACAGGAATTTCTGACATGCTAATTTATGAGGTGTTTTTGTTTTATTTTTCCCAAAAATATCTAATTGCCCTTTGAATTTAAACACATATTTAAATAACGCACAAAGTAACAACTACTTGGTCAAACCAAGATTTTGACAGGAATTTTTTTACCACACTTATCACAGTGCTCTTGGATTCACTGTACTTTTTATACGCTTCTAAAATCCAACGTGGTAGTGGTCTGAAATGTCTTCTGTGTGCCTGTTAAGGTGCTGGAAGAATGGATTAACACAGGTGTGATCGAAACAGATCACAATGCCGTCAAAACACTTAGCAGACGTCCTAAAGTACGAGTCTGCAGTGGTGGCAGATGAGGGGGAAAGGGAAGTACAGCTGATCTGCTGGGCTGAAGCATCCCCTGAACGTGACCGGGCGGTAACTGGGCTCTTCAAAGGAGCGTCTGTTCAGCACTCCAGGTTAGGGCGAATTGTGCATTCGAGCCTCGCCAAGCACCGGCTGGATTTCCTCCGTGCCTCCTGCTGCTGCCATCAGGCAGGGCCGGGGAAAGCGGGCTGGGAGAGAAGCTGAAAAGCCCGGTGCTGTTCCTTGGGGAGATTTCCTCCGTGCCTCCTGCTGCTGCCATCAGGCAGGGCCGGGGAAAAGCGGGCTGGGAGAGAAGCTGAAAAGCCCGGTGCTGTTCCTAGGGGAGGAGGGAGCTCTGGCTGTCCCGGGCCGGGAGCGGGGCCGCGGCCGCGAGGGGGAGCGGCAGCGCCGCGGTTCCGCAGGGCTCTGCCATCCATCCCCTCCCGCAACCCCCTCCGGGGCTGGACCCGCTCTGCCATCCATCCCCTCCCGCAACCCCCCCCGGGGCTGGACCCGCTCTGCCATCCATCCCCTCCCGCAATCCCCTCCGGGGCTGGACCCGCTCTGCCATCCATCCCCCTCCCGCAATCCCCTCCCGGGCTGGACCCGCTCGGCCCTGCCGGTCCCGCAGGATGCTGATTTGGGAGGCCGGGCGGTGCCACGGCCGCTCCCGGCTGGAAGAGCCGCCCTGCGAACAGAGGGAGAAACCAGCGGTGCACACCTGCCTGGGCAGGAGCAACGGGGCTGACAAGGGATTCATTGGCTGTGTGCCACCTGCTTCCCTGCCATGAGTATGTTATATTTAATATCATTACTACCAGGTTTGGTGACAGAGGCAGAAAAAGCTGGGATTTCTCCCTGGCTTGCTAATGCTTTGACTGCTCGGCTCCAAACCACGCTGTGCTTTCTAACCTCAATACAAACTAAACTCATGAAACACCCACACTGCTGTCCTGCCCTCACCGATGTTCCCTCAAACACAGTCATGCTGCTGCAAAGACATTTATTCCAGATCCACTTGTGACAGTCGAGTGTCAGAGTTAAAGCGCATTGCTGGGGACAGTGCAAAGCTTGTCTACATTAGCACATCCCTGCTCGGGGGCTAGAGCACATAGCAGTCTCCAGCACTGCTGCCTTGATTAAATGTACTCCTGGTACACTTCAAATAGATTTTCACACAGAACATTGTGGTCTCTCCGAAGGACTGTTTGACATCTGAGTTGCTCGTCTGAATGTGGCACACATTCTGTCATTCCCATTTCATTTTGGGAACCAAATTTCACTAGGTTCCATACAAGTATTGCACACTATTTTCAGAATTTTCAACTCGAGCACTGCAGAGTCATGAAACTGTAACTAAAGATGGTGTTCCTTATGGCAACAAAGTGCCAGGGTATCAGATGACTCAGAGCCTTTCCTTCTCTTATGCTGTCTTTATGTCATCTTTAATTAATTAATTAGAAGATAGGAATTGAAATGTCTTCCCTCTCTTAGCAATACTTCTGTATCAATGTTAATCATGATGCAGCACAGAGCTCCAAACTGTGCCTGACACAGAGCTGAACAAGGGTTATGTTGTTACATTTAAGTCCTAATCCCTTTTCTTCTTAAGTACAGACAGATGTGTTTAATCTATTCAAATTTGCCTTAATTGTTTGAGTCTATAGAAAGCTGACTGTACTTTCTGCTTTAATTTGGGCGATTCCAAGGAATTAATCTGCACTAAGCTGTTTCCCTAGATATTACAGACTTCTGTCAGCAGTTACAGTGACTAAGCAGATACAAAGTGGATTCCCTGGTGATGTAAAGACGCCCCATGGTGTTTGCCCCTGCCTGTTTTTACCTTGATATCCAGGGACAGAGGAGGCTCTCTCATGGTTTAGGATGCAAGCAGCCATCTAACTCCTCTATTCCTCTATGCCACTTGTTCCCACTGACATCAATCAGATCCCAAGTGTGGGATTGATTCCAAGTTGCCTCTGCCTGATTTTCAGCCTGGACACCACATGAGGAAAACTGGTTGCCCTCCTTACACAGCTGCAGTGAATAAAGTAATTTTTCATGTGTCACCTGGACATTTTACCCTTCACACACCAGACTAAGCTCAGCAAAATAACTTGATTCTGTGTTAAAAATAAAGGTAATGAAAATAAATTAAAGAAAATGCAAAATTGCCTACAAGGTAGCCAGATGGGCAGCCTACTTTAATGTTCTCATTTGATCCTGCACATGAAAGAATTTTTATTTATATCCTCTTGTATTTCCTTTGAACCAGAACTTTAACAATTGTTTTGGCCCTATTGTGTACGACAAATAATTCCCAAGATAATTCTTTTTCCATCAAAGCATTAGTTTTCCACTGTGACTATATCCAGATTAAAATTTAAACACCAAAGTCTGATATTGTTTCTGTTACCTAATTAAGTGTGAAATTTTTTAAATGGAACACTAATGGAATAACATCCTTAAGTGTTTTCTGTAAATCTTCTGGGATTCAAAGTCTTCATCACAAATACATAAAGGCTACTAAAAACCTTTTGTATATTAAGTGCTTAAGACAAGTCACTGTGAACTGAAGTATCACTTCCGCCATATTTGCAAAAATTTTTTTCCTCATATTTATGTGTTTTATTCAAGTAATATTGTTCCTGGAAGCGTAGCCGGTTTTGGAAGTTGACAGAAATTAGAAAGCTAAAGGCTACTCAACAATAAAAGGCTCTGAGTGCATAGCTCTGCTCCTCTCACCTCATGAAATCAACTTTTCTTGTTCTCCAGTGCCAGAGAACTGTCAGGTTGAAATAAAGAGATGAGAAGCTACTCTTTCTGACTCTTGCTGGCTACTGCACTTGTATACAGCATCCTGCAATTCAGTACAGATCTTTAGCCTGGAACACAGGAAAGGCTTCCCAGCCTGATTGCCATGAGGTAAATCCTTACCTGCCAGTGCAGGACAGTGACAGACTCCCGGGAAATGGAACAGAACGCACGACTTCCCTCGCCATCCTTGGTCACTAGAGAAAAAAGAACAGATTTGGGTCTTTGTAAGCAATTGGTCATGTTTCCTGAACATTTATTGACATTATTTTTATTGCCACAAGCATTTCCTCTTCCCTTTTGACTGTCTCCCTGGCTCATGGAGTTTTGTTTTCAGGAGGAAAATGCGGACTTGAGGGAAGAGTGAAAATCTAAGTTCCATATGAAGTCCAGGTTTGGTCCTATTTTCCTGATCTGTCTTCCCTTTTGACTGTCTCCCTGGCTCATGGAGTTTTGTTTTCAGAAGGAAAATGCAGAATTGAGGAAAGAGTGAAAATCTAAGTTCCATATAAAGTCCAGGTTTTCCTGATCTATCAAACTGTCTCTTCTGTTTTGTCAGACATTCATGTGCATGATCCTGGTCTCAGTGCCATGAAATAAATTTTAACAATGTAACTTAATGGAAATATCCAAGTATGTACAAAGGTGCAAATAAAGTCAGAATCTGACCTAGAGCTCATACTTTACCAGGTATTTGTATCTATCTCATTTCAGTTCCAGACTTAGGGTTTTTTTTCCTTCCCTACGAAACTCCAAATAGAATTTTTTGGCATAGAAACTTCCCCAGTTTGAATGAATGGGGTTTTTTCAAGTGAGAAAAATCCATTTGGCTGTATTCCAGCTATATAAATAAAATTTTTACTGACTTTAAATTGTTTTTATGTATGTATTTCCTTTCACAGGTGTCACAGAGATTGCTTTCATTCATGAAATTTATCACACAAAGAATATATGCTAAAACTCAAACATTGTAACACAATTAAAAAATTCTGTATGCAAAAAATAGCTTTGCTTACATGCATTTTGATAAGAATATATTCTAAATTGAGGAAAACCAATAACCATCTCAATAAGTAAAAAAGCAAAAATATATTTTCATTTTATGATCCTCTACCACACCCTATACTTGGGGATACACATGGAGATGAGGAAAAATTGTTGTTTTTTTCTCAGATATTTTTTAAAGGAGCCTTTCTAGTATTGAGTGGGTTTTTTATCCATTTTATTGGGAATAGGATCAGGTCTAGATTGTATTTTGCTTCCTTGATGTCTGATGTGTATAAATATTCATGAGTCAACACCTGGAGTTGGCTATTTTCTAAAATCTGTATAACTGTTATTGCAGTTTTATCTGTGGACTATGATGTCTCATTTGAATTCATGAGACCTGTTATAAATTTTAAATATATATGAAGTAGTATTAAAATCTAATGAAGAACAAGAGTCCCACCTGCTATCTGCAATTTAGTACTACCTGAATAAGAGGAAAATGGGAATCTTAGCAGTGAAGATGGAAACTTGATTGTTTATTAAAACTTCAGATTTGTTTTGATCATTCCTTCTAATCCCTGTTGATAAAAATCATGTTCCAAAATGGCTTCTTTCCAGATTTCTGTAGAGATCTTGGAGCTTTATGCCACTAAAAGTTTGGCAGAGCATCTAGCTGCCATATTTTTGTTAAAGAAGAAAACTACTTCAATTCCCTGAGAGGAGTCTATTTTATAGGCATCTTTGCTCACATATCAGACTCTCTTGTGTGCTCTCTTATTTCTGTGATCTGCAAAACAAATTTTATTTACAGTTTTCAAGTTAGTTTTGTGTCATGAGACTTGCAAACCAATTCACTTGCACATTCATACCACCTAAAAGATGAAAGGTATTTGTCATGGTACCAAGCAATATATTTATTCTCACTTCTAAATACTTTTCAGAACTGTTTTTCCACCAAATTCCATCAAGAGTTATTTCTGAGCTCAGACAGAGATGAAGATTCAGCTCTCCAAAGTGACCACGGAGAGGCTTTGAGTATCAGGGGATTTAGAATATGATTGTATCCTTGGTAGGATCCTGGTGTCCCCTGCCTAGGGATAACAGGACATCACAAGACACTTTCATAGTGCATTTTAATTGCTCTATAAGATTAGATTTGTGGTGAAGGGAGGCAAGTTCACCACTGATAGCAGCAAAGCTGGTGCTTCACAGTGTGGCATCCAGCCCAAAGAGAATAGAACAAACAGAAGCATTTTCTTGGGGTGTGTCTAACCCCAAATCTATCTGAAATCTGCTATCAGCTCTCTGTATGAGAACAAACTCCTTAATGGGCCGGGACTGCAACAGTTCATAATCATCACCATGTTCCCTGGAAAAGCATGAAAACAGAGGGCTGAAGTCTGGTCCTTGGCTCTTATCACTGTCTCCCACAATAAAATTCCGTGTTTTTAACCAAAGGAAAAAGGAGAAAGTACTTGAAGGATTTCTCTCCTTGTTTCTTTCTCTGAGGAGAGGAGGAAGAAAACAAGCAGAAATCTGGAGTAAGATTATAGAGTACTGCAGAAAAGCTGGAGTAACAGGGAATCAGACACAGATAATAGAAAGGTCATTTTTAAAATTCAGATTGAAAGCAGAATATGATAATGAGCCAAAAATGTTCAATTTTCCCTAGGTGTATCAATCTCCTTTACTAAAGACAGTTACAAACTGTCAGTGTTGGCCCCTTGTTCAAGCCTCCATCATGCACCATGATTAAAGAACTTCTGTCTCCATATCACTGAAAAATCTGGAATCAGCTGCAGTGTTTCCCTTGGCAGACCATTTAAGTGCTCCAGTGGTGCCACACACTGCCTTCCACAGCTGGCTGTCTCCCTGCAGCAACAGGAAGGATCCACCCCTCCAGAGGTGGGAAGAAGAGGCAGCAGCAAAGCTGACTTGGTACAGCTCCTGCCACATGCACAGGAGAAAAACTTCTGCTGCGCTAATAGAAATCTGAATGTTTTACAAATGGCACAACAGACGCTGTGCACTGATGAAAACAATACAGACAGTGATGCTGCAAAACCCTTCAGGCAGAAATGTCATGTACTGAACAGCTCACATCTGAATTGCCACAGCATGATTTTGGGAACGTTTGGCCATGCCCTAAGCTAAGCTCCTGCACTGTCTGAAGTATTCCTTGGGGTTTTCATTTCCAGATGGAGAAACAATAGCTCTGAGTTCATCGTGTCATGTTCAGGATGACATCTTCCTCAGTGAAACACCCCCTGTCACCAAAAGGCAGTGCCAAGCATTGGGTGTGAGCCTAGTACATGAGGTGGAATGGAAACCACAGCCTTCTGCTGCCGAGACAGCAGCCAAGAGTTGAGTCATCCCAAGACCTTCCCACAAATCCTTGTACACTGCTTTTTACATTAGAAAACTGATACTGATACAAATATGTGCTGCCAGGACAAGGGTGGCAAAATGGGAGTAAGGAGAACAAGCACAGAAATAAGCATCTAGATAATTTTCTGGATTATAAATGCTGTATTCTGGATTATGAGTGCTCTTTGAGCATTCCTGGAAGTTTACAAGACCATCATGAATCTTAATTAAAACTAAATACAAAACAATATTTAGAACTAGAAATAAAGATTAATACTACCTGAAAGATAAATCAGGACCTTTCTTTGGCAAATAGATTGCCAGGGGAATGACTGGCCAAGAATTCATTCAGAGCTAATCTGTGCTAGACATACTGTTTAGCTGCATTATCTGATGCTACCTCTTCTTCTGATTCAAGGTCTGCCTCATTTGTCAGGTCCTGTCCTTTAATCTCCAAACACAATGGCAAAGTGATTGCCAGTGATTTTATGCTTTTCTGTGCCCGGGACAATGGGACTGTTCAGCTGTCTGAAAGAGCTAATACATACTTTATGATGAGAAAGGAACAGCCAGAGCCACCAAGGGAAGGTGGGATTCTTTTCATCATTCTATAGCATCTTCAGCAGCAAATAGCATTTTCAATACTATAGCTTTAAGGTGTCTGAGGTTTTCTCAATGTAGAAAAGCATGGCACATTGAGACAAAAAATTCTCAGACATTTAATCCAGTTAAAATATTCAAGATTCATTCTGAATTGTATTAGTCCACTGTGATTCAAAATGTTAAATGCTTCATCAAACACTATCCGACAGAATGATTTCAGTAGCCATCTGTGACAATAAAAGTGAAGTAACTGCACAGTGGGCTTCTACAGCAGCATATAATCTCCTGAAGTCTTAAAGGGAGACCTGTTTGACATTTGCCTGGCCTTTTTCAGGCAGCCTCTGATATGTTGATGCCTTTCAGACTCATTAGAAACTATATCATAGCTCTCTATAATTAAAGGAAAGCCTTCTTATTGCAATGAGGTTCAAAAAGAAAAGAGGACATTTGCAGAAAAATAACTTTGAGAAAATGAAAATGAAACCATGTTGGCAGAGAGCACTAAAGACTGAGGCACAAACCTGCAGTGCACCTGCACCCACCACCCTTCCAGGAGATACCTGCTGGTCAATCATGTCTGAGGGACAGCTTTAGTAAAGAAATAAGTAAAATTTTTAGTCTTTGTCTTTTCTTTTGATTTCAAAAGCTGTAGAATGTAGGGGGTGAAACGCACTGCCATTAAAGCCAAAAGAGTACCTCCTGCTTATTTCAGAATAAGCTTAATTTCAACCAACCTTGTATTTCCATGGCTGGAAAGCAAATCACTTCTGCTCTGGGAGGAGCTCACATGATTTGCTGATGATATTGAAATCATGCTCAGCCACAGTCAGAGGCTGCAAGACATCCTGGACGTGGTCAGCATTTGACCCTCACAGGGGAATGGTCTTTCCTTAAACTGGAAATCCTGAAAGGCAGAAATGAAATAACGGAGTGACCCCTGCAAGGGCAGCAGGCCAGGCCAAGATCAGCACCCACAGCCCATTGTTAGACCTCCTGTGAGCACAGCCACTTGTACAGCTCTACTCTGGCCCCTGAGTGTGGCACCTCACTGCTCCACACCAGAAAGAAAAGAGCCTTCCACCAAACCATCACTTACCTGCAGGAGAAACCCTAAAAGAAGAGTTAAATTACTATAGGAAAAGCTTAGAAAAATGTGGTAATGGCACACAGACACATAGCTATAGACTCTATTTATAATTTATGGTTTACAGATTTACAGTGTGAAATTGCAGTATTATGCAGTATGATTTACAGTGTGAAACTGCTGTTCATACTGTCAAGTATGAAAAAAGCAAGTTTCTAGGTCTTTTTTTCTCTTATTAAACAATAAAGTTACATAAGTGTGAACAGCATCTTCTGAAGTGAAACTAACATTTTCACTTTGAATATGGGAATATTTAACAACAGATAAATATACCCACTGTAGTTAATGAGCTGTTTTGTCATATTCTGCTCCTAAAATATCAGCTTGAACCCCAGCTCTACTGGGATCAAACCCCACTTAGGAGAGAATAAAATAGGGAGAAAAGTGAAGCAAAGAGCATTCAGATTAAAAAACAAAAACAAAACACAAACTTAATAAAAAATAAATTGAGAGTCTAAAGAGTGAGGAGAAAAAAAGAGGATGGAGACACAGCATTTTACTGGAAAATGCAATGTTTTCTCAAGCTGAAGTCTGTTAGAGCTGATGCAAAGTCTCTTTTGTTGTACACAGGATTTGCAGTGAGCCCTGTAAAAATGTAGAGAATGAATTTAAACTAGTATTTTAGGATCCATCTTCACCAGTACATGTCTGGAAAATGTGACTTTAAAATGTACTTTGCATTGGCAGGGGAACAAAAAAGAAAAAAGAGAAGAGAAGAGAAAGAGGAAGGGAGAATGATCACAACAGAAAATAAGAAAAGAGATTCAAGAGCTTCAGAGAGGTTTGCAAGTAATTCACAAAAACTCAGTTACCACAGTAGAAATTATACCTGAGCACAAGTGTCTCTAGAATGGTTTTAAGAATTGCTCAGATCGCACTAAGATTGTTGTTCTTCCTTTTGTAGAACAGGGAAATCTGGAGCTAAAATATTCAGTTCCAATCACAGTTATCTCAATGTTTGTGCCAAGGAAAAGGAAGCCAACCAAGACTCCAGTATGTTTGGCTTCAAAATTCTGGTAAATTACTTGAATGTGTACTGGCCTTCATGAGTGCTTGGACACAGGCAGCCCCAGTTCACTGGGAGAAAGAGAAAGTGACATTAAAAAAAATCTCACAATTAAAACTTAACAATTAAAGAAATGTTTCATGTGATCACTTTTGTTGTGATCCTGCTGTTTCAATAGCACAACAGAGAGTCCACAGAAAGGCCTTCCATATCAACAACTATTATTTTCACTTACAAGTAGCCTTGAAAGCACATGGAATTTAAACCATAAATCACTATAAACCATATACCTCATGTTCAGACTGGTCACCATTCATTTTTCTTCCAATAAACTATCTGTTTTTCTGAGTATCTGCTTTTCCTGCAGTTCCTTCTGCTGCTCTGTGATTGTAGGTAAGGTTTAATCAGACTTGATGTAGTGCCAAATTTTAGGCAAACAGATGCAATAATGCTGGTTAAGAGAGTCTGGCCCTGTAAGTGCACAGTGGGGGTGATCTCACATGGCTCAGTCGATGGTGACATTCAGAATAGTGTCCAGAGGCTGCATCACAGTGATAGATATTTTTCCTCATAAATCACAAAAGAAACAAAACTACAGGGAACTCCAGAATATCTGGAAGACAGACAGTAAATGATTCATGGCGAGACATCACATTTGCAAGATCATGCTGTGGACAAAACTCACTTCCAGCGACATCCACGGAAATGTTGTTCTTGGCTTAACCCTAATCTGCACAGTGTGTTCATCTTTCTGCTCAGCCTCACACCAGACCCACAGCCAAGACACACCAATTATCTCACACAGCAGATGCTGAGATCAGATTGTCTACAGTATTCTAAGGCTCAGATCACAAATACTGTCACCTCAGTGTGGCCCTGGATTTACAGATTCTAAGCATTTGAGCAAACACGTCCCAGTACTGGGTAACTTGGAGTTCATGAAGAAAGGGGCCTTAACCAGGAGGCAGCAAAGAGCAATTGCAGCTGGAGAAGAGGCGAGGGAGCCCCTCCTGCCCTCAGCAGCCCACCACACCCTGGCCAAGACCCTTTCCCAGCCTTAGTGGGTGCTAATTCCTCAATTAGGGCTTCATGTTAGATCCCCTCCATAGCTGGATGAGGAGTGCAGTGCAGCCACATGGGAATTTTGACTTTCTGAACTGCTGCTTGTTTTCTGCTTAGTCATTCCACACTGCCAACTCTTGGTCTGCTTGCACGGCTTGTACCCAAGGCAGGGATAAAATGAAGAGCGAGGCTCACAGCTCTTGGCATCCTGTATCTCAAGATATCTGATATCTTCCTCCCACAGCCAGGCTTTCCATGGTCTAGCTATGCCAAGTTTGTTTAAGAGGCAGGCTAAAAAGAGCAGGGAAAATTCTCTTTATCCCAGGTATAATGTGTTTTACAGGACATAAACAAACAGTCTCTGCCTTTCCTAAGCAATTCTCAGAGTGGGTGTTTGTTTAGCCATCCCCTGATGGGAAGACGCTGCACAAGCCTTTGCAAAATAACTCTCCTGGTCCAAGCCCCAGGCTGCAAAGTGGAGGAGGAGCTGCTGCTGCTGCAGGTGAGGCTCAGCACCTGGCAGGCTGTGACAACAGCCAGGCCAGGGCCAGAAGCAGCAATGATCCTCTCCCTGCTCACTTCAGTCTTCCAGTCACTAATGGCAGCACTGAACACAACAGAATTTTTTTTTATCCACTGAAAAATAAAACCACTGCACCTACCAATCCCTGTGTACTGCTTATGAGGGAATGATAAAATGCAACTATGATCTGTGTTCTACAAATAAAGCTCCATGAGAACTATTTACTTACCCCCCTTCCAAAATCTACTGAGCAATCGGTACTTCACATGTGTTTCCAACTATTGTGTGGATCAGCTAACACAAGATCTGAAGGAGGAGATGAATTGCAGCAATATAATAAACAGTTCACAGGAATGGATACAAACATCAGCTTTGTAGCTCTCCTGTGAATTGAATGGATTCCTGCAAGCTTTTATTTAACAAACAAGTAGCATGAGTGGAGTGAAAAACTATACAAGCCCTAAATGATTTAACATACTCCTGGAATACCAACGCTACTCCAAATGCTTCCTTTTCCCAACTGCTTTTCCTTAGTGAGCAGATCTCAATCAGGTGGATTACCTGGTTTAGCTGTGATTATATTTCAAGCTGTCATCAGCAAGAAAAGCAGAAAACGCCCAGGATGACATTATTGCACCAAAGAGGTGCAGGGGCTGTAATTCCCTCTCATTGTAATGGCCCATTAGTGCAGAAACATTGCCCACTTCTGATGGCAATCAGCCTGTACCTGCTAATTACTGCACGTATGGGTGTCATGTTGGCTTTTGCTACTTGATTTGGTGAGATATATACGTAGGGCTATGAAGGGATACTTAGAGGAAAACAGCAAAGGAGTAAAGACAGTTTGTAAATATTATTATTCTTTTCTGTTATTGCTCATTGGCATCACACAATTCTTGTATGTGAGATACATATCAGAGGTGTCAAAATGGGAGAGGGACAAAATGAAAAGCAAAGAATGGCTTAATGCATTAAAATGGAGGAAAAAAAATAACAGGAGTGAGACATAGCTTCAGTTCCATTATATTATGTCAATTGTGCCAGCTTTCTTCCCTTCGCAGGGTATCATTCATAGCTGGAAAAGTCTTTGGTGAATAGTCCTATATTTACATCACAGAGAGCCCGTAAGACACAGCAACCCTGCCTCAATTTCACACATTTCCTGAATCATCAGATGAAAAGAACAAAACATTAAAAAATGTGTGACTCCTACCACAATAAGAAAATACCACAGGACCTCTGGCACTAGAATTATTACAGCTGCAACACTCGCTGCTGTCTGTTTACATTTGCACCAGAAAAGGACAGTAAAAAGGAAGCTTTATGTGGTTTAGGTGCTGTTTAGATTTAGGCATAAAGGCTTTTCAGCTGTCATCTCTTTAGCAATGGCATGTCCTAAAGACTGACACATTTCACTGGAATACAAGGCAGGCCAAGGATATTTATGCTTCCAAGGTGCCACAGTACCATGCTGAAAGTAAAGCCATGCAGAAACCGTGATGTTAACTACAGCTTACTGCAAATGCAGGAAATATTTTTGGGTTTTATTATCATCTATACCTCTGAGGATTTCTACTAGAAACTTACTGCTAGGAAAAGAGAAAAAACTCGCTGATATATCACAGCATTAGAATTGTGTTAGTTTGTGAAACGTGTTTGGTAACCATGGGTACTAAACAATTTCATAAGGATTTCACATAATCTAGGAACTATAAATAGACTTGGAAACAAAGTAGGAGCTTAATGCAATATCCACAGGTTGGGAGGCAAAATGTTCTTTGTAACATAATTTATTTCTGTGCATTCCAACAAGCATTTTTAAGGCATTTCTGGAAATACCATAATTTCTTTTTTTGTGCATATCTTCTTTACTAGCTTATCCTGCCCATCACTTGTGACTTGATCAAGCTGAGCCTGGATGATAATGAACCAGGGAGTAATAATAAAGCTTCACTCAATTTATTTAAATTTCAGAGGAAAGTGTGCAGAGTAATGTGTACTAGCCAATGGTAAGGAAATTTAACCAGGTGAAAGATACATGCAATAGAGTATTTGTTCCATAATTTTTTTTAAGTCTTTGCACACTTACCTGGGAAAAAAACTGAATTTCTCATGAAAACAAACTGACAAACACAGTAGGCAGTTCACTACCCAAATTTTGGATGACTC